GTATTTTAAAGAGTGCAGTTCTTACTGTACAACTTCCCAGACAATGATCCAAAAAGTTTGTTTTACCAACTTTAATTGTAACTGAGCCTTTATGGACAAGTCTTGCTAGTGGGAGTGCGTCAGGTGACCAAACCAAGTTTCTTCACAAAATGCAGCAGCTACAGTAAGTAAAGTGCCCACAAATGTTTCAGCTATTTATTTACAAGTAGTCATATTGAAAACCAGCAAATGAACAACAACAAGATGGGGTGAGATATTCTCCTAGTCTGTATTTTATCAGCCACTTTCCTTTATTGTTTCACTGCATCGCTATAGCATATTTCTTCTATATCTATTTTCATCTTCCTTACTCTACTTACTTCTAGCCTTTTACTCATCCTAATTTCCCCAATTTGACAGAATTAAACTATTTACACTTTAACAGCATAATAACAAGCATTTAGTGTCAAGATCACTATTCTGCAGCATAGGCAGAGTATCTACACATTATAATAATTGCTAACTTTTATAAGTCTACTAGCAAATTGCCCATCAAGAATTGCCCTCCTCCCCCCACCCCCGCTTGCTAACCCTAGCCCACCCTGCACTACCACCTCCCAGGAGCAAGGTGGGGGGAAGCTTGCCCCACTGTCTCCTCCATCTCCCTCCACCAGCACCCCACACTGCCTCCAAGGAGAAGGGCTTCATTATATTAAAATTAGAAGCTGCCACATTGTGTACTCACACTGTACAAGTAGATGTCAATTGACTATCTCTACACTGTCCCATTTGTTATGCTATTTATTTATTTATAGAAAAAAAAGTTAGTTATTTGAGAGTGGAAGAAGGGATAACAGGACCAGTCCATCCAAGTTAGAACTAGAGAACAATACCAACCTATAGACACCAAGAATTACTGTGAATTCTCAAGTTTGATATAAAGCAACTAAGCAACCCAAAATTGTGATAGTCTTCCAGTATTCCCCTCCTATGACAGCACAGCCTTCAATCATTTAATCTAGATAAGTTTCTATATATTTTGAGTTAAGTTCTAAGATGGCCAACAAAACCTGCCAAAAACCCAACTAGATTTATTTGAAAACATCTTAGATTCATTTAAAGTAATTTCATATCTCTCTTCTCCCCATCATTAAATGGTGGCAGGGTTTGTTTTTGAATTGAAATGGATTTGTGCCTTTTTGTCCCTTTATGACATAAGGGAGCCTAAAGAGCATTTTTGGGTTCAGTTTAAATATTATTTTGTCATGGGGTGGGGCGCGAGAGCGGCCGTGATCTCCCTAGTGCTCCCTACCGTGCCAAGTTAACTGTTTAACACCCTCTGTCTCGCCTGCCACGTCTTGCTGTTATATATATAAAATGGGAGGCTGCCTTACTGTCCTTTATGACACGGTGGTATGTTCATACTGGCCCATATCTTCTAAGGAGTGTCCCTGTGCACCCCAGCCTTATGGACTACGTGTGCCTCCTACCTCCCCTTTAGCACGCCCCAAGCCTCACAGTTATTCCGGACATTCTCATGTCTCCGATATACGCGCCCTTGCCAGGGCCCTGCCCCCGCACTCGCCCTACTCCGGGCTTTGTCCTGCACGCCCTGCGCTCTCGGGTTCTATCCCACGCTCCTAACCTCTCGGGCTTGTACCCACGCACTTACTCCTAGCATGCCTAATGCACTCGCCCCTCGCCTGGGGCCCTGTTGCTCGCTGCACAAGCCCTGTCTCGCCCCTTCCGGGGTTCAGCTAGTGTAATCACCCTCTTCAGGCTCCCGACCGCACGCTCTGGCCCTGCCTCAGGCCTCTAACCGCGTGCTTGCCCTACTCCAGGCTCTTACACTTGACCTCACCCCCCTTATGGGACTTCCCCCTAGACTCGCCTCATCTGGGGCATCCCAACAGGAGTTCCCCCCTTTCAGGGCTTATGCCTCGCCCTTCTCTGGGGCTCGTCCCACGCTCCTCGCCCTCTCTGGGGTTCGTCTCGCGCTCCTCGCGCCGGGGCTCAGGTGGCCCGTAGCTGTGCCTGGCCCCTTGACCCTTCTCGGGGTCCTTCACCCTACTGGGCCGAATACCGCCCTCACGGGCTGGGGTCTCAACCCGCACACGCCACGCCACACCGGCGCCAAACAGCTGTGCCTCCCAGGCACTGCTTGCTGTACCCATACAGGGCACCCAGAAGCCCCCAGACTACTGGGGAGCTCCCATGAGGCCTCCTCGCACCCCTACAGCCTCACCCAGTCCTCCGGTATAATGTAAACAAACACAACCATGAGCTAACTGGCTATAACATAAACTAAGCCTCCTGGCTCTAACAACTCCATGCCAACCCAGCTGTAATCCAAATGAGCCTTGTAGCTACAACATACACCCAACCGCCACCCTGGCCCTCTTCCAGTACCTCCCTACCAGGGTTCTCTCCACCCCGCATCATCATGCAGGCAGTCAGACTGCTCTGCTCTGCTCTGCTCTAGAGCTCCTGCACTTCAGACTGCCAGAAGGGCACTACCAGCTAGGCTCCGGCCCAGCCACTTATAAAGGCCAGGCCCCGCCCCCTGGTGGTCAGCTGATCCAATCAGCTGCCTTAGCAACTCTCACCTGCTGTCCTGGTGACTGACAGCTAAGCCCCCCTTCTGCCATTATTCAGTAGCAGGCACCCTGGTGTCCTGCTACATATTATTAACTGCAGTCTTCAATTTCTTTTGAAGAGCTTATTGGATGTTCTGGTTTCACACCTCAACTGATGGAGAAAAAAAAACTCAATTTAAGAAAAATACCATGTCTTTCAATTGTTACCCAAGTTGAATTAGTTAGGTGCCAGGAAAAAATTAAAAGGTTGACAGTCCGACTAAAACTTTGCTCACCTTTTCAACTGTTCAGCCTTCACTCAGAACACTTAAGTAATTTAATTAGCCTTCCATAGACTTCTCTAAACTACAAGAGACATTACTCTACAAAGAGAGCCAAACAGGAAACATAACAAAAGTTTTGGGACTCTTTATAAGCCATATAGCAAGAAGAGGACAAGTTTAGGTCACCTTCAAGCTGTCCTCATGAAAACTACAACAACCTTTAGGCTAAATTTTGTCTTCACAAGAGCAAAGCAAAAACTCAAAAGTAAATCCCCAAAACTGACCTAGATTAGGGGTGTCAAAAGTAAATAAAATAAAATAAAATAAAAAAAAAAAAATTAAAAGAACCCATGCCACAGCCCAGGGCAGAAGCAATGGAGTCAGAAGGGTAAGCAGCCACAGGCTAAAAGCTATAGCCACTGGGACCCAAGAGCTCCAAATTCTACAGCAAGCCATCCTAGCCACCCTCCCAGTTTCCATAGCCCACTGCTACCTGGGTATGTTCAACACCCTTGATCTAGATCAATGAAAATTCTGCTTCTGATATAATCTGTTATTCATACAGACCTTGTACTTATCTGAACAGTTTATGACATTCTAATAATCCAAAACCCAACTACAGTATTTCCTGATTTCCATAGTACCACTTAACTTTTAATCCTCAGATAATGGTGAACAGGTAAGGTATACATTTAAATACATATGCTATGCTTTGCAGTATATGCATTTAATATGTATAAAATACTATATTTGTTTTGTTAATATGTAGACATTTGTAATGTTCACTGTACACCATACCTTGTACACTCCGGGACTCCTGAAGCACCATTTAATAAAATATAAGTAAAGTACTACAGATGCCTGTGCAGTCAAACATGGAAGCCACAATGACCTCTACCATAGCTATCACAATCTTAGACATCAATAAACTTCTCATTTTGGTCAGAACTTCCATATACCAGTCCCAAAATATGCTTGCATGGAAGGGTTAGCACTTCAGCATCAGTTTACACAAGAAAGCCTCAAGACGAAGGGGTTAAATGCTTTGGTCACTATCACAAAGTATATGGACCCAAGTACATCTGGAGGCATTTCAGAAGGGCGGCAGCAGCAGGAATATAAAATGTAGCAAATCCACTCTGGCTTTAAATCCTGGTTCATCCAGCTTAAAATTAGAGCAATTTAGCTACATTTGTATCCTTTCCAGCTTGCCCACACTTAACAATTAGAAGATTACAACTTCTGCCCCTTTTTGAAACAGCTCCAAAAAGGTACTTGTGTCCATAACCCAAAAAGCAGACAAGTGACAGACCTGAAGTCAGAGCTCAAGCTCCTGAGCACGTAAGTAGCAGCTAAGTCACAAGGGTCAGTCCTGCAAGACTTTGCTCATGTGATCAGTTACTGAAGTTCTCACATGATGAAGGATTTGCAGATTCGGGCCTTTAAACTGAAAATAAGGGTCAGTGTCACAAAGGAATTATTCACTGGCCTTGTGAGTCTATTTTATCATCAACCAGACACCAGCAGAAGAAAACCTAGATACATTTTTATCTGCAGAACTCTCTCTGCCCATGTAGGACTCTGGTGAGTATAGGAACAACACTAAAAATCACACAGATTTTGCTAGAGACAGACAAACCATGCATGACAAGCTTTGCGCTGTCACAACCAAAACAGGTGGCATCTTAAACACGGGAGCCGTTAACCATCGAGAATAAACCACTCGAGCTTGTTAGCTCAACGGACACATTTCCAGCTTGTCACAATCAACTGTTCCTGCAAACATTTGGCAGCGCTGTTCAAAACATTAGCCCGCAGATCTCTGTTGGGGCTGCCGACTCCCAGCCCTTCGTTACTGCAGGAAACGGAGCTGCTGAAGGAAGGAGTTGGAGCCTTTCCCCAAAGGGCTACGCATAACCTTCAAGTGCTAGGATTTAGCACCCCAGCCACATCCACCTCCTGCTAGGGGAGGGGTTGCGTCATCTGCTGCCAACTGCACAGGCTCCAAATGCAAAGTCGGGCACATGCTGAACAGAACGGGCCGGCCCAGCCCGGGCGCATCCGGGCCACAGGGCCAGCCCTGGGGCCAAGTGGCCCATGGCAGGCGGTGGGCTGGGGGGCCAGGGGCGGGCCAGGTGGCAGGACGGGCCACGTCCCTTACCTTCTCTTTGGTTTTGAGGTACCGCTGGAGCGCCTGCTGGGTCAGGTCGCAGACACGGAGCTGCCCATCCTTGCAGGGAACCACGATCCCCGTCTTGCCAAAGCAGACGGTCACTTTCATCTCAACAAGTGGCACCAGGCAGGGCCAAGAGCACAGCTAGGACAAAAAGAGAGCAGGAGGGAGGTTTAGAAACACAGAGGGAGGAAGCAAGAGAGAGGTGCCCCTGCTCCCCAGCGCCGGGCCGGGGGGGAGGGGTGCAGCGCAGCGGGCCCAGGAGCAGGTGCCTGCGTCCCGCGGGGCACAGCAGGGCAGGGGGCTCCCGCACCCCACCCCCGGGTCCGCGCGGC